AGTTCGAGCCCCGCGTCGGGCTCTGGGCTGATGGCTCAGAGCCTGGAGACTGTTTCCGATTCTGTGTCTCCCTCTCTCTCTGCCCCTCCCCCGTTCATGCTCTGTCTCTCTCTGTCCCAAAAATAAATAAACGTTGAAAAAAAAAATTAAAAAAAAAAAAAAAAGAAAGAGTTCTTCCTGAATCCATCTTCCCTGATGTGGAGAGCCTTGAGATGCTGACTGCACACTAGTAAGGAACCCAGGTATAAAGGGATGTGTGTATGGTTTTAGAATATGAACGTGAATTCTTGGATGCTCCTCCCTTGAAAAGTTGGATCTTAATCCTCTCTCCATTGAGTGAGAGACAGACTTAATGACTTGCTTCTAAGTAGAGGTGATGGTATGCAACTCTAGAGACAAGGTCCTTCCTCACATGGATCTGAAGGAAGCTGAGGGAAACTGGCTGCCATTTTGTGGATACCCACCAGCCCTATGGCAAGGCTCACGTGCTCCATCTTGTAAGTGGACCATCCAGCCCGTCAAGTCTTCAGATGACTGCAGCTCTGACTGACTGGCTGAGAAACATCATGAGGCACACTGAGCCAGAAGCACCAGTTGAAGTACTCCTAGATTTGACCTGCAGAAAGCATGTAAGATATGTTCACTGGATCTAGTTGCTACATCTCAAGGTAACCTTCTACATAGCCTAAGTAAGTATTATAGTGTGTATTCATGAATGAGTAAGACAGCAGTGTAGAGTACCCTTTCTGGACCTGATACTATCCAACTGGTGAAAATCTATCATCCTGACCCAACAGCTATCACCACATTGCAGTAAGATGCTGTAATAAGATGGTTTCTTTCTTCTCCCTGCCCAATTGCTACCATTTTTGTCACAAGCTTGTCAGGGTTTGTCCTACCATTAGCATAGTTGCCTAGAATGTCTGTGATGAAGCTGGAGTGCAGTCTCAGTGAGAGAGACTATTAGAGAAAGTGGCAACCTGGCTATGGAGAAGCCCCAAAGAGCGAAGTTTCATAATACATTGTCCAGGCTTTGGTTCTTTGTCCTAAAGGATCAGAAACTGTTTTATCAGAATATTCAGAATTCATAGACTAAATGGACAGACTTGGGGGCCGAACTATACAAATTAAATTCACGAGACTAATGTATAAATCAGAAAGCTTCTCTAAATTTGCCACGTGTAGGGGTGCCTGGATGGCTTAGGTAAGCATCCGACGTGATTTCAGCTCAGGTCATAATCTCATAGTTCGTGAATTGGAGCCCCACCTCGGGCTCTTTGCTGACAGTGTGGAGCCTGCTTGGGATTCTCTCTTTTCCTCTCTCTCTACTCCTCCCCCATTTGTGTGTGCACTCTCTCTCTCAAAATAAATAAACTTAAAAAAAAAAAAAATTTGCTATGTGTTGAATGGAATTCTGGTGCTCTGAGCCAGAGTTCTTCCCTTTCTTGAATGATAGCTTGGAGGTCATATTAGCAAATCAGAAGATGGTTCAGTTAAGCCTGTAATTAGAGCCCAAAGCTGTGAGTCTCAGGTATGTTCTTCTCAAGCCATGGCAAGTCTTGATAAACCGATACTAGCTGAACAAGAGAACACTTCCGGTCACCAAACTGCTCACATGTCTTGGGTTCAGTACCTCCCTTCCAGGGAGAACACTGTATGTACACAGTCATATTTTGCTTCTCCAAACTCTTGACAAATTGACCATTTCTGATCATCTTTTCTTTCCTCAAATGAGATAATATCACTTAAAAACCACAGAGTACCTAGGAAACAGAGGCTTACCTTCCCACAAACTGACTTAATTAGTTTAACTCTCTGGGGGTATCTTATTACCGAGTCCTTGGGAAATGTCTCACTGTTGCTTTCACATATTACCTGTACAGTTAGGAACAGAGGACATTTATTAGCATGTCAGAGCTTGTCCAGAGATAATATTTTAAAACTGGCAGAGCCTATATGAAAGGCAGTTTTGTAATTTTTTATCTTTCATCTAGAAAAATTTTCCATGATCAACAAAATCCTAAGTTGAGACCACCAGGGGTGGAAAAATGAATAAATCGGTTATCAAAAATAGGGCACTTATGTGATATTTTCCTTTTTTCAATCCACCATATGTAGTAGTATAGTTTTCTAACTTGAGTCATGAGTATTCTTACCAAAATTTAACCATTTGAATTTGGAACAAAGGCTAATTTGCACCTGTTCCATTTCAGAACTTCAAAAATAGTTTTTAGTATACAATTACTTAATTTCAATAGGAAATATTTTGGTATTTAATGTCTTAATATTAACCAACAGCTACTGACTCAGAAAAAAGTATGTTCCATCAAATGTACACATTTGAATTATTAAAAAAAAAACTTAGGATTACAATAAAATCCTCAATATGTTGCCATTATGTAATTAAGATAAATAATATGTAATTAAGATAAATAATAAGATCAACAGTCATTGGTAATGTGCCAAAGTAATTTCATAAATTTATAAACATATCAAAATCTCTTTTAGTTTTATTATCCTCAGAAACTCAGGACTACTCAAGGGCCATTTACTTGTCATTTCCATCAGAGATCATTCTTACTGATTTTGTTTGTATGCTACAAAATACATCTTTTTCTAATACCTGTTTTACTAAAATGAAAATAGATTTTTTTTCTTGGAAATAAGATGAAGTCAAATTAGTTCAACAGCTGCTGAAATTTCACCTGAAATATCAAACCGCTCCAAAGTAACAAAAGGAAAAGATAAACACATTAGCTTTAATATGGCTAGTACACAGTAAAAATTAAAAGAGCTATTTTAGCGAAGTTAACACAAGTAGAAAACTTGATCAAAGTATGTTCACTGAAAGTCCCGTCACTAGCATTTTTATTGAATACAACATATGCTAGAATATAAATACATAGTAATATGCCCTTTCTTATCACAGGGAATCTTTTACACAACTAAAATCATGGCCAACATATGGCAAAAGAAAAATAAACCAAACCTGTAAATTCTCAGAAAAGGAGTAAGGATATAGGAAAATAATGCATTTTATGTAATTACAGAGGACAGTTATAATGAAAATCCATTACTTTCCTCTCTGACTCAATTTTATAAAATAAAGTCAACATGTATTAATCTGTGAATTGCTAAGAGTGCATAAACACTGTGGCCCTCTCAAAAGACAGTGGTCAAAGACAAACTGTTATCTTGATGTTGTATATTGTTCTTAGTTCTTAACTGGAGTTGAGCTTCCTTTCATAGTCTTCTTTAGGTGGTGGTAGTTTGGCAAGATTTTCATCAGGAAATCCAGCTGTAGTGTCTGGGGCTAAAAAGATAAGAGAATTAAGAACTGACAAGCAGAAAGCAAGAGTACCAGGCAGCTCAGGGTCAGGGAAGTATAGGTGATTTCCACTGGCTGATTTTTGCTTACCTGTTTTTTGTGGGGTTTTTTGGTTGGTTGGTTATTTATTTATTTGTTTGTTTGTTTGTTTGTTTATTTTGGTTGTTTAATTTACAATGAATATACATTAAGTTTGGAAATACGAAAAAGCCAAAAGATTTTACATATAAAAATATACATGAGGGGCACCTGGGTGACTGAGTATCTGACTCTTGATTTCAGCTGCTCAGGTCACGATCTGCCCCGCGTCGGGCTCTGTGCTGACGACAAGGAGCCTGCTTGGGTTTCTCTCTCTCCCTTTCTCTCTGCTCCTCCCCTGCTCCAACTCACACTCTCTCGCACACTCTCTCTAAATAAACAAACTTTAAAAAAAAAAAATTAAAAATATACATGACTCAATTTTCAACCCTGCTGTTACAGGCTTTACGCTACCCTTGAAAAAGTTAAAAAGTTCTAATCATAGACAACAACCTAAGTAGAATTCTTGGAACACAGGTTTCCACAGGCCCTACAAGTTCACAGCTGTACTCTCTGCTCTTCACTCACCAGCGCCGCCCAAACTTCCCTCGTTGCAAAACTCACTAGGGGTACTTGTGACAAATATGGAGGATTATTAGGTCCTTGCCCGAGACATTTTGATTCAGTAAGTTCTTTAATAAGGACCTGTGATGAGTGAGATGTGGAAAACTGTATTCAACTTCAGATAGTCTTACTCACTGAATTCTAATCTCTTTTAACCCAACTCCAGTTTCTTTTCTCCTTCTTCAATCATTTTTGCTGTTATGCAGAAAGATAGTGGAAACAACCCTGGTTTGTTTTACTGCCTTTTTGGTCTATAGAAGTAATACTTGCTTATAATAATAATAAAATCCGAACATTACAGAAACAGAATAACCCAAAGACAGCTGGAGTTTTAACATCTGATAAAATATGGCTAAGAATCAGATGCAAATGATAGAGGTCTTGAAAAATATTTTCTTTTGGAGGAGGGGAAAGAGGCTGGGTAACTAAAGAAATATATTGTGTGCCAAACAATGAAGTTCAAAACTTCAATCAGAATGTCTTCTGTCCAAAGGAAGCCCCAAATGCCCTATTTTATCTCCTGTATGAAACTCTAAATACATATTCTTAATTATTCTTGGTTCTTAGTAGCAGAGATAATTTCTCGTAAGCCAGGAAAATATCAAAATACACTTGCATATTCACAAACTGTGTTTATTTTCAAGTCAGCTATGTTGGTAAACTAACAGACGGACCAAAGTTGGTTGGCCAGTATAAACTTGGTAGGATCATTCCTTACCCTTGAGGATTGGTATTTTCAGAGCGAATCAACAGTTTATAAAGTTTGGTGATACATTTTCAGTGAAAATACATTAAGATCAGGAGCAACATCTCTGGATTTTCTTTGCTCATTATCAATTTGTCATTGTCATCTTTGTACATATTTTTGATAATAACTTAAAGACTGAATAATTTCAATGCAAATAAATTCTAGTTTTAGGAATGTTCCTCTGATTTTAATCATTTGCTTTTTATTTTATTTTTTTAAGTTTATTTATTTATTTTGAGACAGAGAGAGGGAGGGGGAAAGAGAGAAGGAGAGAGAGAATCCCAAGCAGGCTCCACGCTCAGTGCAGATCTTGTGACCTACGACCCCACAACCATAGATCATGACCTGAGTCAGACACTTAACTGGCTGAGCCACCCAGGCGTCCCTCTCATCTGCTCTTTAAATGGCAAACTTGCTGTCCCATTAAAACAATTATGTGGTAGTTTTTTGAAAATTAGTAGCGCCAGAAATTTTTTTCTAATTGAAGTATATTTAACATTATTCAAGTGTTGTATTAGTTTCAAGTGTACAACTTATCAATTCAATGATTCTATACATCACTTGGTGCTCATTATGATAAATGTAGTCACCATGACAACCATACATTATTACAATTTACTGACTATATTGCCTGTGCTGTACGTTTCATCTCTGTGACTTACTTATTTTAAACTGGAGGTATGTACCTCTTAATCCTCTTTATCTGTTTCACCCATCTCTCTCCCCCCCACTCCACCTCCCCTGTGGCAACCACCAGTTTGTTCTCTGTATTTAAGTTTTTCTTTGTTTCTTTCAGAAAGAACTCCTTTTTGGGGCGCCAGGGTGGCTCAGTCAGTTAAGCACCCGACTTTGGCTCAGATCATGTTCTTGCAGTTCATGGGTTCGAGCCCTACATCAGGTTCTGTGCTGACAGCTCAGAGCCTGGAGCCTGCTTCTGATTCTGTGTCTCCCTCTCTCTCTGCCCCACCCCTACTCATGCTATGTCTCTGTCAAACATTAAAAAAAAAAAAAAGAACTCCTTTTAAAGACAGGTTCCAGTACCTGTGGTCGCTCAGTCTGCACCCTACGAAGGCAGTCTGCACCATAGATCACTGTATTCTCAGGGATGACCTCAAATGTATTCAGGTTACAGCAAGCCCCAATGATGCAACCACTTGTCAGGATTACGTTTCTGCCCACATATGCTGCAATAAAAACATAGAAAGAACTGTAATTTAAGACAAATGATTGGAATGTTACATTTTTCCAAAATGTCTTAAGTATGAAAAAGTAAACTAGCTTTAAGAAAAAAATTAAAGAAAATACTTCAATTCAGAGTTGGTAAAGCATAGAGGCAGGCACCAGACTAGTATTAGATGGATTAAACACAGAGCTCTGCTGCTGACTAGTTGTGTGACCTTGGACAAGTCACTATAAATTCTGAGAAGCTTATCTATGAAATGAAAGATCAACCTACTTACAGTTTGTTGTTAAGGAATAAGTAAGATATTAAATGGAAAGTGCCAAGCTATTTACTTGGCTATTTGACACATAGTAAGTATATAATAAGTAGAAAATAACAACGATAATAATTGGTAATCAAATTAAAACAAAAACCATTAAGCAGATTAACAAGTCTAACTTTAGTATTTAAAAAAAGAAGCATTATTCTTTCATGTCAGTTAGGACCACCAAAGATAAATTATTATTCTAAAGACATCTTATTGTTCAGGTTCCTTCTGGACTTCAGTGGGGCATGCTCTTGGGAGCTGCTTTCCCATAGTGGTGACTTTACATGACCTCCTGCCCAGCTCCACTTATGATAAGTTGCTTATATTTGTTCCTGACTGGCTAAAGTAGTCCTGAAATTAAAGAAAGCAAACTGACACAGAAAATGATTTTTTTCTTTAGTTCTGCAATTATATCAATCAACTAAATTATCACTGACACTAGTATTTAGCAAAAATCTTTTCAAATCTTTCATCTGAACGTTATGGTTTAATCTAATCCCAACTTATGTACACAGCTGAATTTCTAGTTCAATGTATTAAACACATTATTAGGTTCCTTAAAGGCAAAGATTTAATCTCCTATTTTAGTCCACTTCCAACCATGCCTTCCTTCCACTTTGCCAGAGGTTATACTTGGGTTGTTTTCTAGGACACCACAAAGAAAAAGGAGGTAATCATTTTCACAATAAAATTCTGAATACAGCTTACCTTTTGATTCAATAACATTATTATCTCCCATTTTCATGGCTTGGGAATCTGTAAGCCAGAGTTAAGTAAACATTGTAAACATGTGCATCTTTTCCCCCTACCAATTCACTGTATCCTTATCCTGCCCTGGGACAGAGGGTAGGAGCATGGGCAGGGCCACGCAGGCTCAGCCTGGTGAGAGCTCCTTTGCTCAGGGCAGCCTGAAAGTAAAGCTTTAATCTTTAAATGTAAGCATCTCTAAGTAGATATAAATGCCTTCTATGTTTTTTAAGGAAATGAGCATCTTTTACCCCCATTCTATAAGTAACATATTTTCACGACTGTTTTAAGAAAATTAAATTTATCACCCAATCACTTAAAGATAACACTGCTAACAGTTTGATATACCTTTATGTAAATACATATAATTGCCTTAACATAACTGGGAATCAAACTGTATAAACTTTTACAGCTCACTTTATTTGGTTCAATTAAATTTGCAGGCATTATTCCATACGATTAAAATCTTTAAAACCGTAATTTAAGATGACTGCTTAATGATCCGAATAGTCCATTTTGTGCCTGTAGCTTAATTTATTTAAATATTTTGCTATCACTAAATAGATTTTATTTTCCTCCAAGTTTTTCTGTCATAAAATTATATCTTGCTGACAACATGAAAAGAGTTTACTAGCTTTTTAGAGTACAAAAATCAAGGAAAGAACTAGTAGCACTCTGGGGAAAAAAAAAACAAAGAATGAAGTATTTCCAGGGGTGCCTGGGTGGCTCAGCTGGTTAAGTGTCCGACTCTTGATTTCAGCTCAGGTCATGATCTCATGGTTTGTGAGCTCAAGCCCTGACATCAGGATCCGCTGTTAGCTTGGGATTCTCTCTCTCTCTCTCTCTCTCTCTCTCTCTCTCTCTCTCTCTCCCCCTCTCCCTCCCTCCCTCCCTCTCTCTCCCCTGTCTCTCGTTGCCCCTCCCCCCTTAAAATAAATAAATAAAATAAACTTAAAAAAAAAAAAAAGAAATATTTCCATCCCTTTCTACCATTTCTTTGCAGCAGACAACATACTGTTAACCTAAACTATATAGGAATTGAATGGACAGAGCTGTGGTTCTTAAAGCAGGACAGAAGCCAGGATTCTTCTGTTTCTATGTCTACTGCCACTCAGTCATTGTTACCTATTGTTACCTGTGAACAAGCTGTAACACTAAGAGCAGTGTGTGTGTGTGTGTGTGTGTGTGTGTGTGTGTGTGTGAGAGTGTGTGTGTGAATGCATACTTATAATATACTTGATATATGTGACAGGTAAAAATATGATGATTTCTATGGAATAGATTTTGGATATTAAAAACAGCTGGGAAGAATGTTTTACTTTAAACTATTGTAAAGGATACAACAGCCAACTTCAAACACATTATTGGTGCCAATGATCATAGGTTTTGGTTCTGGATCTTCAGCATCAGGGGTGATATTATCAGGGTGACTATAAAAAGAAGAGACAAATCATCAAAGTCAATAATGCAATAAGCAATTCTCTTGTTTTAGAATTTGGGTTCATTCTGTCAATTTGATCTCCATCAAGCTTAAAATATGTAACTATATAAGTAATTTCTTATTCCAAGTGAATTATTTATCATCTATGCTGAAGACTTGATTCTGAGTTGAAAAAGAACTACTAAAAGGTAAAGAAGTCACAGGTAAGTTTAGAAGGTCAGCCTTCCTTTGCTGATTTTTATTTATTTTTTTTATTTTTAATTTTTCCTTTGCTTATTTTTAAAGCTCATAGCCCAGAGGGCCTTTTCCAGGACAAGGTAAAAATGATGCTGGCTATAATTTTTTGCTTATTAAACTGGAATCAAAATCATGCCTGGCTCGAAAAATTTCCATTCTCAATAATCATTCGAGATTGTGAAATATAAACAGAAATTCACGTAATTATTTTATATGCTCTTAGGGAGTTTGAAATATTTGGAACATAAAATGTTTGTGGTCTAAGAGGAAGCCATTTTTTAAATGGTGCTTTATCTCTGACAGCTGAGTTACTGCAGAATATAGCTATTCCTAACTTACTTACAATAAAGGTGCCAAAATAAGATTTTAAAAAGAAACTGCTTAATATAGCAAGAAACTCCCAAATCCTAAGTAAGTGTTATGACAAATCAATCTCTTTATCACAGTCAAATATTTTCCCAAGGTCTTTCTTACAAATTCCATACATTGTTGCTATAAATTAGGTATAAGCTTGAATTTCCTGCCAAAATTTTATCTAGAAAGCTTTATTAAATGCTTATGAAAATTTCATAGGTATTATAGTCTAGCTCACTAAGATCATGTACATGTTTGAATATTTTATTACTTTTTATTCTTGAAAGTTAAAAATTGCCAGGGCGCCTGGGTGGCTCAGTCGGTTGGGCATCCGGCTTCGGCTCAGGTCATGATTTCACAGTCTGTGGGTTCGAGCCTGGTGTCGGGCTCTGTGCTGACAGCTCGGAGCCTGGAGTCTGCTTCAGATTCTGTGTCTCCCTCTTTCTCTGCCCCTCCCCCACTCATGCTCTGTCTCTGTCTCAACAATAAAAATAAACATTAAAAAAAATTTTTAAAAAATTGCCTCTAAGGCCCCCAAATTTTCAAATATAATTCTGGGTGCTACCCCCACAAAGCATATGAAAATATATATCAGAGTAAAGCTCATGTGTCTGGGCAGGAGTAATAACAATTCAGCCAGAAGTGAGAAATCTAACCAAAAGCCTCTCTTCAAGGGTGGCCAGCACAGCACTTGGTCACTGGAGTCAGGAAATGTTTGCTTAGCGCACAGAGGAGGTAGTGATACATAAGGGGAAGATTATCAGACTGAGAGGAGGAGATTCTAGTCAGTCACCAACAAGTTATCTCATCTTGGACGAGTCTCTTCACCCATCTGGTCTCTGGTTTCCTTATTTACTAACACTTGTGTTGAAAAGATCCTTAATGTTCCTCTAGTTCTAAAATAGTAGGCTTTCCAAATGTCTACCGTAAAAGGTTCCTATAGATAGCTGAATTAATAAAAACACAACCCGAGGTACTTAGTTCAGGGTATCTGAAAATGTCTTACTCACGCATTTATGATAAGCGCCTGTTCTTCTATTAGGTTACCTTCCCCAATCACTATTGGCCCGGCTTCCGCAATAATCCGTGCTTTAGGGTGGATCACTGTCCTAGGTCCTGTTAAAAATACGGTGAAAAGAAATTACTGGTGGAGGCTACGCTTCCAATTGGAGGGGAGAAGGTGACCAAGAGGGGGCCGAGGCTATTGGGAGGAACATTTTCTAAAGTATGTGCCAGGCACCACACTAGGTGCACTTTACAAATGTTATCTCCTCAGCTGTTATCAATAGTAGTTAGTGCCAAATCTCAAGGCAAGGTGAGTGGAGACAGCACAGGCTTTGGAGACAGACAGCACTGGCGAACCCGCTGTTTGGAAGCCTCTGTTATCTCAGCAGTGAAATGGGGGTGGGGAATATACCATCTTACAGAGGCACTGTAAGGATTAGATGAGATCATGTTTGTAGACACAGTATTCTGGCACATTGTTGGCAATAATATTAATTCCCTTCCCTGCTTTCTCTCATAAAAGTAAGGCTCCCTTTGCTTATAATGTTGGGCTTTCTCATGCTAGTGAACCACATTAACACTTTCTCATGCTTGTGTACTATATAGAGTTAGTCTTCCTATTAAGTGCCTAAGAGGAAACATGGGTGGAATGGGAGAAGGGAAACATGGAAACCTTATCTTTGTTACTTTGTCACCATCCCAATAACAAGCCTAACCACTGGAAGGAGGCAGAGATACTGTTGTGTCTGGTCTAGGACATGATTTTAACCAGTTAAAGGTTGAAAAGGTTACAGGGAGGCAGTGGAAGGAGCCAATATAATTACTGGAATCCTAAGACTCTGAAATAGGCAGACTGAGGGGACGCCTCCTACCTCAAATTGAAAGGAGCGGGAAGGGGTCTTACCACATCCATTTCACCACCAGGGTGGAGGTGGCCGGCATTGCTTAAACAGGGACATGATTCTGGACAGCTAACACATTCCCTCCCCTGGTTCTTAATTTCCCAAAGGCCTAGCATTTTGGTGATAATGAAATCACTCCTGAGAAAATATAACCTCATTACTGCCACTCCCTGCAACACTAGCCCCACCCACCCCCAATGCCATGGCTATTTTTATTGGTAAATAAGTGGACATGAAGTAACCAACTCTGAAAGGAAGACAGCGTGGGTAGAAGTGTTGACAGGAGGTGGGAAGGTAGTCAGGAAGATGCACTGTCCCTGTAATTCAGTACTCAACTATGTAAGTTAATTTATTCAATAATCATTAGCTGCGTGTGACAGGCAAGATCCAGTGCTATATGTTAGAGGGAAATAAAAAGAAATATAAGCTACTTTTGCCCTTTAGAGCTTGCATTTCTTTATTTTGTTTTGTTATCTTGAAAACTGGAAATATTTAACATACTCACACACGAATGTATTAAATAAGAAGGTGTTCCTGGTGCCCAGAGAACTGGAAGGAACCTCAGTGCAACTTTATTTTTTCCCCCTAACAATGAAGAGCTGGGGACTGATAAGGAGGGTGGGGTCCAAGACAGGATGCACAGTCAAAAGACGCACAGTCTGATAAGAAATAACATGAGGTGGCTTTGTTATTTCTGTCACCCCTGGCTCCCCAAATCCTGAGCTGCCCAAGTAAAATTGCTTTGGCAAATTCTCCTATTCAGGATAAAAGATGGGATCTCTTGGGTCCCTGGGAAGATTCTCAAGTTGACCATGATTGTGAACACATGTGCCTTTTTTTCTGTTAAGAAAGACACATATTTACAAAGGTAATACATACTCATTATAAAAATTCAAACAAAGCAAAAGTGAAAGATCCTCTCTTTGCGCTAATCCTGTTCCCTAGTGGTAACTATTCTTAAAAGTTTGGGGTATATTATTCCAGACTTAAGTTCCACTATACCCTTAAGACCCGTAAATATCATTGTATATAAATATCTTTTACCATGAAGTTAAAAAATAAATAGAATATAATTTGAAGGTGGAAAAATATGGATTATAAGCACATAGTTGATTTTTTTTTTTAATCAAGGAATGGTACTTATTATTGTGCAATTTTCTTAATTCACCTAAAAAGTCATGGTGATTCTTCCATAAAAGTACATTTAGCTAGCTCTTCTTTTTAATGGCTGAATAGTACTTCATATCATATTAACATATCATAATGTATTTAACCAAGCCCTTACTGACGGGCATTTAGATGTTACCACTTTTGAGGGACAGGTGCTAAATAATACTGAAACAAACACTGGATTCCCCCAAAATGAGAAATTTCTTACAGGTCTTCCAGCTGTGTGAACCAATTTACATCTGTAGTTTGCACAATACCAGATTCACACTTTACTTAAAAATGTTCTGTGATAAAAGGGACAAATCATTCTATTTTAGATTCTTTGTAATTAAAGCCCCTACCAGCACCCCACTCCTTGTCTAGAAAGTCTAGACTCTGGGTCTCTACCACTTAAAGGCTATATGCTTAATCTCTCAAATGCCTGTTCTCTCATCTATAAAAAGATGAGATCCAGAATAACCTACTTCATTGTGTTGAAGTGTGGATTATACGAAATAATGTCTGAAAGGGAGATCACAGGGTCTGGCCCATAGGTGTTAAAAATGGGAAGTTCATCACTATCTGACACTAAAAGCTAACAAATAACTATCAATAAGCAAAACAACTCCTTCTGGTCTGAGAAACAGAAAAACTCCTCTCCTCCACTCAGGTTATTAGGGTGGTAACTCCTTTTAAACAGTGGGGGAAAATTCACATATTACTGTAAGATAGTAAAAGAAAAGAATAAATGTATTTTCTGTACTGGCATTAAAATCTTAGACGGGGAAGAGATCACCATGCTGTGATAGAAAGCAGATCGTCTGCCGTGGCTAGATAAGCCAGAGGCACTAGGTATTCTGCTGGCCCCTAAGCTGCAGCTTTGACGACAAGCAGACGTGTAAGAAGTTACTGGAGAATGGACTAGTATGATAAGGTTGTCACTGAAACCGGTCTTTCTTTAAAAATTCCTCTGAAATAGCTTTGAAAATAATTAATATTTTCATTTTTCCCTTTCAAAAATGATCTAATATATGTTAACTATACAAACACAAATTTTAAAAATGAAACTAAATCCAAGTCCCATGTCTTATAGAATTTTTAAATATAATGCCTGAGCTATTTTTTTTTTTTTAATGTTTATCTATTTTTGAAAGGGAGAGACAGAGCACGAGCAGGGGAGGAGAAGAGAGAGGGAGACACAGAATCCAAAGCAGGTCCAGGCTCTGAGCTGTCAGCACAGAGCCTAATGCAGGGCTTGAACCTCCCAACCCCAAGATTATGACCTGAACGGAAGTCAGACGCTTAACCGACTGAGCCACCCAGGTGCCCCTAATGCCTGAGCTATTTTAAGCAGGTTTTTTATTATTGTTGTTTTCATTTTTATCATAATTAATAAGTTTGCAAGAAGATAACTGGATATCTGTTTATAAATCCGAGGGCCCTGGGATATAATGCAGGATCACCAGCTTACATGAGACACCGCCTCCACCTGGTGGCAGCACTGCCAAACTACAAGTCCTTGTGTTTCAGGGCTGAAATAACTTAGAAGGTTCAAGTATCAACTCTGAATTGTGGTGCAACAGAAGTCATGGCTGATAATAAACTGAACAGTTCCCCTAAACCTCTTGTAGGTCTTTTGGAGCAGAGAGTAGAGGGGTTAGTATTCATGTACTTCAGTATATGTGACTGCTAAAATTTTGGTTTCTAGAACTTGCTAAAGGGACATTCTGACTCAGGTGTGTAACCTGCACAGTGTGGGCTTTGTCTCTGCACAGTTTTGTGCTGGAGATTGGCACCAGTGGGCCCAGGAATCCGAGTGGTATTCCAAGACCCGGGCAGCCACGGCACACTGAAGTCTGGGCACAGACTGCTCCACACTCTTCTACATGTAAGAAGCACTTTTACCTAGAACGGGTCTGATTTCAAACCAAGTTTAAGGGTCTTGAGGTTAAAATGCTTTAAAAATAAAAATGTGTCACTATAGAAAGTTGCTTTTTTTTTTTTTTTTAAAGGCTGTTGTGAACTTTTTTGGAGCTCTTAACTGGCAGGGTAGTTTGTATATTTGCTTACCAAATGTGCTGAAATCCTATTTGGCTTATCTCCCTGTTTGGATAAATGTGTCTAGAGCTGATGTTGCCTTACTGGCTGATGAATTATTTTTCTAAATGGTTGGCTGGGCTTGATGCAACACAGCCAGAAAGGCATTCCTTGCATCAAACTTCCATTCCCCTCATTTGGTAAAGGACATTTTTCCTATCTTTGCCACAGGAAGCTATCTTTGTGTACATTTTCATATGTCAATAAATAGTTCAAAAAGCCACAAGCTCTCTTTGGAAAGTTAAAACAATTCCTTTGAGCTGTAAGCTTAAGTACCTGTAAGAACTGCTTTATATTTGATGAATTTCAAGTCAAGGTCACTGTTCTGCCTTATTAAAAAAGACTTCCACAGTAAAGGGAAGCTTTTGATCTGTATTAAAAACTCTAATGGAGAGAAAGAATAAATGGGACAAAGGGGTTCCATCTCCGTTTTCCCACTATGTGGAGGTCTGCCTTCCTACCTAGTACCTTGTCCCAACCGAGCCCTGTCCTGAGACCAGGAGACTGACTTTCATCCTATAATGGGACTACAGAAAAGGGGCTTAGAAGTAACTTTCTGAAATGCTTTTCAGCTTTCAAAACAAAATTTAAGGAAATAATGCGTGGTCCAAAAATCAAGGCAGCCTAATTAAAAACAGGCTGGACGCTATGAAACCTTGTTTACCCACAATGTAATTAACAAGAGAGCTGTTATTTTTCCCAAGGTCTGTTTCCTGGCAGCCTCTAAGGAAAGGGGTCAGGCTCCAGCAGCGCCTCAAGTCCTAGGGTTTCTGCTTAAGGACAATGCTTCAGACTAGTTTCTTTGATAAACCAAATACCTGATTTTCTAGGAGAACAGATCAGGTTTAAAGTTCTATTACACTACTGAAACAAAGAGAAGGAAAAATTACTTTCTTTCTGAAATATTTCAGAATAGAATAATTTGGTAAAAGTATAACCAACTGGGGGATGCAAAGTTCTGCATAACATTCTGAAAAATCTATTAAACTCAACTACACTTAAGTTTATTGCTACTTGACTGAGAAAACAAAGCGTATTAGGTGTTCAAATCTCTATATCCCTAATATAACAGAAAAAGACTTTGGTCTGGTAAATTAAGCAAAAACAAAAACAGTAAAAGCCATAAATTGGGGAAAAAGAAAAAAACATGGTGGGGAGAGTGAGGTTTTTTTTTAAATTTTTTACATTTATTTTTGAAAGAGTGAGACAGAGCACAAATGGAGGAGGGGCAGAGAGAGAAGGAGACACAATCTGAAGCAGGCTCCAGGCTCTGAGCAAGCGTTCAGCACAGAGCTGAATGCGGGGCTGGAACCCATGAACTGTGAGATCATGACCTGAGACGAAGTCCAACACTTAACCGACTGAGCCTCCCAGGTGCCCGGGAGCATAAGTTTTAATCACATAACTTATCTCTACTCTCTCATTTGATTTAACTTCAGATCTCCCTGGTGCTTTTTAATCTCATGTATTACATCAGAAAAATGAATTAATAGCAGTCAGAAGATTAGGGATATCTTATTCCAAATATAACAATGATAGAAATGGCTATCTAAATACTGATTCTGGAAATTTTCCATTCTTATATATACAGTTAAAGATAAACACAAACAAACAAATAAAACAAAATGATAAGACACATACATAATGAAAATGAGAGAAGAATTATAAAAGACTGAGCACTGGATAACTATATCACTTCTGAATCTTTTCCTTAGTTTTAAAAATTGAGATGTTTCTATAAAGTGAGCAAATTTTCCTGTTTTAAAACACTGGGTCAAAAATAAGCATAAAAACATTAATTTAGATCCATTCTATGATAAACTTCAAATCACTAGTTAAAAATTACGACCACTTCTTATGCTAAAAAATCTGTGTTGAACTGTCATTTTACATTTTAGCCATCTCTGTACTGTCAGCTACTGGAAAAAAAGTAGATTTAAACACTGTATTCCTTACATAATTTCAACATTTAGGGAAGGTTGGTGATTAAAAGGATAAGGAAAGGGGAGGAGCACAAAGTAGTGAAAGACAGCAGGAGAAACTGGAAAGTGAGTGCTGACTCCCGATACTCCCACGTCCCAATCCTATGCTGTGGTCCCTGGTCCACCTTTTCTTTTCATAGGAGAAAAGGAGAAAAGCAACAGGAGTTTTTTGTTTTTTTCCAAATCTGAAATATACCTACAGACAAACATGTACCTACACCTGTGTGTACATTTTTGCCAGCAGAGGTTTCTATACTATCTATTATATAATAGGTATACCATACTTCGTTAAAAATGAGGAAGAAGTAGAAATGAAAGGGCAAGTTTGTGTAATTAGCTACACTATTTTAGCCTTACTTTCCTTCTAATTAAAAATACTTGGGGGTGGTTCAGTTGGTTAAGCTTCTGACTTTGGCTCAGGTCAGGACCTTGCAGTTCCAGAGTTCGAGCCCCATGTCAGGCTCTGTGCTGACAGCTCAGAGCCTGGAGCTTGCTTCGGATTCTGTGTCTTCCTCTCTCTCTCTGCCCTTCCCCTGCTCACACTCTGTCTCTCTCTCTCAAGAATAAATAAACATTGAAAAAAACAAAAAAGAATACCTTGTGAGTGGGGTGCCTAGGTGGCTCAGTTGGTTAAGCGCCTGACTCTGGATTTCAGATGGTCATGATCTCACAGTTCATGAGTATGAGCCCTGCATCAGGCTCTGCACTGACTGCTTGGGATTCTTTTCCTTTCTCTCTCCCTCCCTTTGCCTGTCTCTCTTTCTCTCTCAAAATAAATCATTAAACTTTAAAAACAAGAAAAAAGAAAAAAACAATACCTTGTGAGCTAATGAGAGGATTATTCCTCGAATCATGATGAAAACCATGAAAATACCAGATTAAAGGGACTTCTGGGCGGCTTAGTTGATTAAGCATCTGACTTCAGCTCAGGTCATGATTTCACCGTTCAGGAGTTCAAGCCACGACGGCTCTGTGCTGACAGATCAGAGCCTACAGCCTGCTTCAGATTCTGTGTCTCTCTGTCTCTCTCTCTCAAAAATAAATAAACATTAAAATTTTTTTTAAAAATACCAGATTAAAAATAATGCAGAACATCTTTGATAAACATGTGGCCATCATGATTTCTCCTCATAAAAAGTTTGCAAATGGTTTTAAGAATTAACAAAAAGTTAACATAGCACTGAAAAGAAACTGTGTCACCTTCTAAACTCTGAAATACTGTCAATCTAAAATAAAATTCAACCTAGAAAATTCCTAATGATATTCCATAATACTGGTACAATCTTTACTTGTTTTATAAGACATGATGTCTAAATTGGTTGGAGGCTTAGACTTACTAAAATTCACAATTTTTTTTTTTCCTATTAAAGATAGTGTTAGCAGCACCCGGGTGGCTCAGGCAGTTAAGCGTCTGACTCTTGATCTCGGCTCAGGTCATGATCTCACAGTTCATGAGATGGAGCCCCGCATCAGGCTCTGCGCTGACAGTATGGAGCCTGCTTGGGATTCTCTCTCACCTCTCTCTCCAAATAAATAAATAATACAACAACAACGAAAGATACTGTTAGCATAAGGGACCAGGGCGTATTTTCTCTCTGAAATTGTACTTAACTCACTGAAAGCTCTACTCTGGTAACATGCAGCTGCTAGTAAGGATGAACTCATGTTAGCTCGTAAAGCTACAAAGGCACAATATGCAGTGAAAACGTACGTAAAAGAACTAGTGGCTAAAATGTAAGTTCAGGGGAACTTAATCATGTCCATATAAGCAAGTTACCACATGTTAAACTGTTAATTTGATTTCAGTGCTGGACCTCACCTCCAGCAAGGCTATACACTGCTAAGAGTTAACAATGTGGTCAGCTAGTGTTAGGTTTCGGGCAATGACTTTCACAAATATTCTCTTACTTAATCCTTCAAAAAGTGCCTGTAAAGGTGGGCACTCCTATTTTGCATGTCGAAAAACCTGCTACTTGCCACTAGATATCCGTTCTTCCCTTTCCCTGGTAGCTGAATCCCACTGGATTGGGGGCAGCAATGCACCCAGTTCAGACTGTATCTCCCAGCTTTCCAAGGCTGAGACTAAGTCCAAAGCATCAGACATACAAAGAGAGAATGTGTGAAACTTTCAGAAAGACTATGTAAAGGAAGCTGATCCAACTTGGAGGTACACCCTTTTGTTTCCACGCCTCCCCTTTCTTCTTCTTCTTTTTTTTTTTTAGTATTTACTTGTGAGAGAGAGAGAGAGCGAGCGCATGAGCTGGGGAGGATCAGAGAGGAGAGGGAGACACAGAATCCAAAGCGGGCTCCAAGCTCTGAGCTGTTAACACAGAGCCTGACTTGGGGCTCAAACTCATGAACTGCGATATCATGACCTAAGCCTAAGTCGGATGCTTAACGGACTGAGCTACCCAGGTGCCCCAAATCCTCCCCTTTCTTATCAAAGATCACTCTTGGTGCTTTAGCTATCGCATTTGGGCTGGAGCTCCTGGACAATCAACTGACCAGCCCTGAATTGCCTACCTCTAGACTTATTTATATAAGAGAATAAACTTTTGTGTGTTTAAGCCACCACTATATGCAGCTGAACCTAATTCTAATACACACACTTACACAGATGGGGAAAATGAAGGCTGGTGAGGTTATGTATAATAATATGTGCAAGGTAAACCAGCAGGTAAAGAGCAAGGATGCTAACCCAGGTCTGTCCGACTCCATGGTCCACCTCGTACTAACTACCTAGTAGTGTATAAGCTCCATGAAGGCAACACCTTTGTCTGCTGTGTTCATCGCTGTGTCTCTAGTGCTAGCACAGCGCACACTGTAGTACATAATAGATGTTTCTCAAATAAATTAATGACTCTATTACATCGCCTCATTCCTTTATCAGAGAGGAGTTTTCAAAATAGAGAGTCCATCCAGGTGCCTGGCTGGCTCAGTCAGTGGAGCATGTGATTCTTGATTTTGGGGCTTTGAGTTTGAGCCCCACATTGGGTGTAGAGATTACTTAAAAATAAAATCTTGGGGTACCTGGATGGCTCAGTCAGGAGATGTGACTCGATCTTTGGGTCGTGGGTTTAAGCCCCATGTTGGGTGTAGAGCTTAGTTAAAATAAATAAATTTTTAATTAAAAATAAAATAAAATAAAATCTTTATTTATTTTTTTTTAATATTTTTCAACGTTTTTATTTATTTTTGGGACAGAGAGGAGAGAGCATGAACGGGGGAGGGGCAGAGAGAGAGGGAGACACAGAATCGGAAACAGGCTCCAGGCTCTGAGCCATCAGCCCAGAGCCTGACGTGGGGCTCGAACTCACGGAGCGCGAGATCGTGACCTGGCTGAAGTCGGACGCTTAACAGACTGTGCCACCCAGGCGCCCCTAAAATAAAATCTTTAACAAGTGCCCATCACACTTACTTCTTTTAGAAATACTAAACATGGGAGAAATACATCATTTTCTCAATAAAATTAGGACATCAATGAAACAAATATATAACACCTAATTAATTGTAAAGCATTGAAATAAATTAAATTACATCAATTTTTGAGGAAAAAACCACTAATAAACAATTTCCTTACCTATGGTTACATCACCCCGGATTTCACTTTCTACACATACAACTGCTCCAGGAGCAATCTTCACACTGTAGGAAGAAAAAGGTAACATTCACCGTGGATAAGTTTAAAAAATATTGCTATAGGGGCGCCTGGGTGGCTCAATCGGTTAAGCGGCCGACTTCGGCTCAGGTCATGATCTCGCGGTCTGTGAGTTCGAGCCCCGCGTTGGGCTCTGTGCTGTGTTTCGGATTCTGTGTCTCCCTCTCTCTGACCCTCCCCCGTTCATGCTCTGTCTCTGTCTCAAAAATAAATAAACGTTTAAAAAAAATTTTTTTTTAAATTAAAAAAAATATTGCTATAGAAGCTATCTAGACACTTCAGTGAAAAAAAAGTTAAAAAAAATCTGATTAAAAAAAGAAATGATAAAAGATAAGGTATTTAATATACTATAAGTTTCTGAGGGGGCATACTATCCATCAGGCTAAAATCATATATGATGCCCTATTAAAATGCTTGAGAAAAGAGATTTTGGATTCTTTTAACACCAGCATTGTTTCCAAACAGCAAAAGGCTGAATACAACCTAGATATCCATTAGAAAGGGACAAGTTAGTAAAGTATGGTACACCACAATCTAATACACAATCATTAAAAAGAATGAATAATCCTTTATGTAAAGATTTGGGATGATTTCCAAGCTATATATATTTTTATATTAAATATAATTTATTGTCAAATTGGTTTCCATGCAACACCCAGTGCTCATCCCAACAGGTGCTCTCCTAAATGCCCATCATCCACTTTCCCGTCTCCCTCACCCCCATCAACCCTCAGTTTGTTCTCAGTATTTAAGGGTCTCTTATGGTTTGCCTCCCTCCCTCTCTGTAATCCAACCTATCTTAAGTCAAAAAAAGTAAAAGCCAGAAAATGGACAGTATACAATACACCACTATTTTTGTAAAAAGAATGAATATTCACAATACATAACAACTGGCAAGGTAATATTAATATAGAAATCAACGTAGAGAATCAAAATTTACAAATATTCTCTATTTATATTATAAATCAGCTTACCAAGTGATATAAACCGGAGTGCAAGCTGTTCAAAATTACTAAATTCCAAATAATTTATTGATGCTTTTTGATATTCTGTGATGTCTTGTTTGACACAGCTGAATCTAGCTGAATGCAGCTGTAGCTGAGCCATGAGCTGACGTGAAGAACTGTACCAAACGACTTCCCCATTAAATTGACAATCATTTGGTAACTTGTTCTAAGTATTTTTCTTAGTAGGAATGATATTATTCATGGTTAAATGTGCACTCGCTTCTATAAAACAACAATACCATTTTAGATATTTTGACTTCAGAATTCTATTTGGATTTTTCAAAAATTTTGATTTCCAGTCATTCACTGCAAGTACACAGAAATACAATATAATTTTGTATATTGACTTTGTATCCTGAAACTTTGCTAAACCCACTGAGTTCAAGTAGATTCTCTGGGATTTCTCACATAAATAATTTTGCTGTCTGTGAATACACAGTTTTTCTTCTTTTCCAATTATTTATTTTTCTTGCCTTATTGCCCTAAGATTTCTAGTATAATGTTTAATATCCTTAACCTGTTCTAGTTCTATGAGATCAACAAAACCTATCAAACTACTTTTCTAAGCCATGAATTTTGCATTTTAATGTTTATTTTTGAGAGAGAGCAGGGGAGGGGCAGAGAGAGAGGGAGACACAGAATCTGATGCAGGCTCCAGGCTCTGAGCTGTCAGCACAGAGCCCATTGCAGGGCTCGAACCCACCAATGGTGAGATCATGACCCAAGCTGAAGTTGGACGTTTAACTGACTGAGCCAACCAGGTGGCCCAATTATGCATTTTAAATAAACTATTAAAACCTGATATATAAAACAGCTGAAACTTTCTTGACCAAAATGTTAATATCTTGACTGATTTGTTAAGTTTTCTAAAAACTTGTTTTCAGAAACTTTAGCAAATGTTTTTCAACCAGTAAGAACCAGAAATGTAGAGTGCAGTAATCACTCGTATTAAGTTCTATAAATATTCATGTATGAAAATACTGATTTTTAACTGATAGTAGATAGTATAAAAATGTCAATGATACTTTCTATTTGTTTTTCATGCCTTTTTTTGACATTGCTTTGATAAAAAAAAAAATTGTTACTGCCAGGTTTTATTTTTCCAAATGTTTTACTGTGACATGGGTTCATTCACTTTTTAAGTCTGTCCTCTTTGATGAATGCAAATCTTCATTACATGTAACATGAACTTAAATAGGACATGCTTGCCATTCTAATAAAATACTTGTGTTTAGCACAGTTTCTTTGATATAACTTTTGAGCATCATTTACAACTGATGCAACCAATATAGCTGTTCTAGTGCGTAACTACTGAATATTTGTATTTGCTTCAGTATTTCCAAACTATCTCTGGAGGGACACAGAAGATACTAATAATATTCACTGCCTTCTGAGAGAGGAGCTGGATAGCAAGGACACAATGGTAGATGGAAAATGTTTTTCTTTACATCCCCATTTTATAACTGTTTGCATTGTGAAGCCCACAAATGATTACCTATTCAATATATAACTAAATAAAACAAGACAGAAAAGAGATTGATAAAATTTTCTTAACAGCAGGTGCCAAGAGGATCCTGGATTCATTTCAATAACTAGGCTGAAAATTTATCCTTATTTCCTTAAAAAAAGTCTCCCTCAAATCATGATCCTTATATGCCCTCCCCTACCTATAAATACTTTCTTGTAACTCGTATCATTTAATGAATTTTAGACTCCTAGTTTCCCTTTTTAAGACCAGTTTTTTTTGTTGTTGTTCTTTAAATCACTGTTCTCACTGATTCAGCAACAATCTTTCTTAACCCAGGATAAAATTATTATTCATTAGTAACACTCTCATTACTTCCAACCTTCAAATAAACAATCAGCTATCATAAATATAACCCTATCATGCCGATTCACAGTGGCATTGGTTATAGTATTTCTAGGCCACTGTCTGTCACTGTTCTGTGTTGTATTACATGAAGGATGGTTGATACTGTATTAGTAGAAACATGACACAAGTCAATGTAAGTAAGAAATAAAAGGCTATGTTATGAAATAAATGCAAATAGTTGGAATATTCAGTATAATCACACTCCAGTCCATTTCCTGTATTAGTTTGTTCAGGATAATGAGGTGTTTTTGCTTTTTCATTTATTTTGGCTATCAGATGATGTATCTATAATTTAACTGAGACATTTGGACACTTTTGATGATAATTATCAGGATACTTCTTAGAAAATACTGTACCAATATGCATCAGGAATCAACGTAGTCACAATGTTTGACCTAGGAAATCTATTTCTGGAGTTCTACCATCAAGAATTCAACAGGAGGAAAATATATGCACAAATTGGCAATGTTATTTAGAATAATGAAACCATAAAAGGAGAGAAGTAATGAAATAAAATGTAATCAACTTACTGGAATACTATATAATCCTAAAAATAAAAACAAGGTAAAACTACCTTTTTATAGAAAAAGTTTGCCCCTCCCTGCGGTACTGCACGCAAGAAATCAGGCCCAGACGTAGGTGATGAAGACTGGCTGAGCAACAGTGAGCCCACCATCTCCCCTTCCCCTGTGTGCCTCCCTATCCTCATACAGAATTTTAGGCAACAAGGGAATAGAAGAGGATTCTTTTCCAAAGAAACTACCAGACAACATGAGTTCTTCAATGAGAAGTTCAGCTTCCTGCCTGATTTGCTCCACCCTGAAGCACATCAGAAGGTAAGCCTAATGCGTATACCTGGAGCTTCCAGTTGTTTAAGTTCTCATCCTTAATAATGGACAGAGAGCCAGAGATGATTAGATAAATCAGGAAAGCCTCCAACTAAAAAGGAAAAAAAGCAAAACAAAGGAAAAAAATAGTCTGAAGAAACACAGACAATTCAGGTAGTAAAAGTAAACTTAAAAAAAACCAAACATATAATTCACGAGAAATAAAGGACTACTGCATTAAACAAGGCAGAAGTCTATGAAAAATGAACAGTCTAAGAAAGAGTTCCTAAAAATTAAAAACATAACCAAAATGTGAAATCACTAGGAATGTTAAAAAAAGAGCTCTTCCAGAAAGTAGAACAAAATGCAAAATAAAATAAAATAAAATAAATAAAATAAAATTGATAATAGGACAGAAAAAGTGAGAAAATTAGAGTACCAACATATGAGGTATAGAATCCAAATAAATCTCAGGGCACCTGAGTGGCTCAGTTGGTTAAGCATCCAACTTTGGCTTAGGTCATGATCTCACAGTCCATGGGTTCAAGCGCCACGGTGGGCTCTGTGCTGACAGTTCAGAGCCTGGAACCTGCTTCCGATTCTGTGTCTCCCTCTCTCTCTGTCCCTCCCCTGCTTGCACTCTGTCTCTCTTTTTCAAAAACAAAAACAAAAACAAAAAGAATCCAAATAAAAAGGAGAAAATAATTTATGGAAAAAAACTATTAAAGAATAATACAAAAAAATTTCCCACAGACTAAAGAATATTAATCTCAACCCTAAAAGGATGTGAATGCAAAAGGCTCATGCCAAGTAATATCATCTTAAAATTTCTGAATGCTATGGAAAAGATCCTTAAAGTTTTCAGAACAAAAACCCAAAACACCAAGTGAGGTTAAAATAATCAGAATGGCATCAGAGTCCTCAGTAGCAATACTAGAATTTAGAAGACCACAGACAATCCCTACAGAATTCTAAGTGAAAACTATGTTCAAACCAGAGCTATCCACCCAGCCAAACTAGCAATCAAGTTTGGACAGAGAATAAAGACATCTTCAGACTTGCAAAAACTTTAAAAAAGTACTCTTTATTGGGAAGTTGCCGAAGGATGTACTAAGCTAAATAAAAGTAAGCCAATAGATAAGATAGAGTCTAGAAACAGAGGCTCCACTGTGTTAGTACAAAGGGAAATATCAGGACAACAGCCATGCATCAGCCTCAGAGAGCAAAGATGATAGAGGGTTTCATGGGAGGATCTCCAAAGGGGGGAAAAAAAAGACAGATTATGTGATAATTACTAGATATATGATATATCTGCTATATCTGTTAGAAGATTTGAAAATCATCAGTACATAGAAAAGTAAGGCAATGAAAAAAGTGAAGTCATTTTGTTAAATTTTATATTAATTCAGGTTGAGGGTCCACAGAAAATTCAGGAGAAAGACTCAGTAAGAAAGTAAAAACACAGAGCTCATGAGAGTTCTAGATCAGAAAGATAGCTCTGACAAAAATGAACTATTAGGACTTCATCAAGATAAAAAGCTTCTGCACAGCAAAGGAAATAAATCAACAAAACTAAAAGGCAACCGGCAGGAACGGGAGAAGATATATGCAAATGACATATCAGATAAAGAGTTAGTATCCAAAATCTATAAAGAACTTACCAAACTCAACACCCAAAAAACAAATAATCCAGTGAAGAAATGGGCCAAAGACATGAACAGACACTTTTCCAAGTAAGACATCCAGATGGCTAACAGATGCTCAACATCACTCATCAGGGAAATACAAATCAAAACCACAGTGAGATACCACCTTACACCTGCACCTCACACCTGTCAGAATGACTAAAACCAACAGCTCAGGCAACAACACATGTTGGTGAGGATACGGACAAAGAGGAACTCTTTTGCACTGCTGGTGGGAAGGCAAACTGGTGCAACCACTCTGGAAAACAACATGGAAGTTCCTCAAAAAATTAAAAATAGAACTACCCCATGACCCAGCAGTTGCACTCCTAGGTATTTATCCAAAGGATACAAAAATACTGATTTGAAGAGGCACATGTACCCCAATGTTTATAGCAACACTATCAACAATAGCCAAATTATGGAAAGATACCAACATCCATCAACTGGAGAATGGATAAAGATGTGGTGTGTATACACACACACACACACACACACACACACACACACACACACACACACA